GAAAGATAGACTGCAAGAACTTTGTGTGTCCTCTTAGCAGAACCCAACGGATTCACAATTTCAAATGAATCTTGGTACAAAATCAGTTTGAGGCTTTCAGGGTTTTCCGAAAAAAGTTGGTGATGTTTGAAATGTTGTCCATCATATACATCCCTAAGAATCTCTGTGCCAGCATCTCCAAACTCAGCTGACTTTGTGTTCCTCCATAAAGGAGACTGTAAGAAGCTCTTCAGAGTTTCTGCCACTGGTATGTAGTAAGCATATTTTTGTGTCAGGTTTTCATCCAACCCCAAAGTCACTTTTTGGGGTTCTGTATATTTAAACATTTTTGTAAATGTCTGGTTTCTGGAGTATACAGTTCTTAACTGTCCCTGATGACAGGCAGAGAACAAATCTGACTTTTTAATGCAGTCACAAATTTGACTGATCACTTCTTCTGATAAGCTCATATTTTTTAATAGGGACGTTACTTTTGACATGGTGTAGGCTTGACCTAACTCGTGAATATTTTGCATTTCCTCAACAATTATTTGTATAGTAGAGGCAGGGATGAGCATCTGCCCTTGTAGTTTAAGGTAAAAGAGACACACATTTCTGAGATATGACTCACTATCATTCTCTAGCATGTCCATAGCTCCACTGGCTGCTTGCATGGATTCATGTGTGTTTTCAGAATCACCTGTACTGGCAAGTGCACTTGAGGGCTGAGGGCAAGTTTCCGTGTACATGTCATCAATACTATCAGGGGAGCATGCTTTATGCTTCCTACACATGTGAGAAGTAAATGACGACTTCTTTGTAAATACATTCTTACAACCTCTAACTGGGCATGACACTGACCTGCCCTCTGCAACATGATCATTTAAGTGAGACACTAGCTCTTTCACAGTGTGAAAACGGCGGGCACATAATGCAACCGCGCATTTTAAATCAGCAACAATGGCTGTAGCATGTGGCGCAGGTACATTATGCACATGATAAAAATGGCCCTTGAAAGCAGAGAAAGTTGTAAATGTTTGGCTACAGTTAGCGCCAACGCACTTGAAAAGACAACGAGGCTCATTCCTATGAACTCTGCAATGTAGGACATAGCCTCTTAATGTGTCCAGTTTCTTTTTGCAAAAGACGCAGGTGATCATTTTATCGAAAATTGGGTGATTTTTCTGTGGTTTTCAGTTAAACTAAATCATCACGCATTGGTGCATAAGTCCGAAACGCTGACTGGCACTAGCTTGCAACAACACGTGCTTTGAGTTTCAGTAAACACTTTCGGTAAGTCATGAGGAAAAATGGAAATGTAAAGCTTACCGTTAAACTTTATGACGGAACAGTCAAAGACCCCAGAAGAAATGGTGTAAATCTGTCGAAAAAAACTTGTGAAACAGTTCAAAATCTCGGCTCCTCTTCACCTCTCTCAGAAGGATAGCGGCAGCAACTCTCTAGCTCGTTGTTAATTAACGTCAGCCGCTGTGCAGTGAACGTGAGGCTCGTATTCCTCCGCCCTCAGTGGATCATCCAATAGAAACGAGCCTTAGCTGTTCACGTTCAAATTTAAAATTACATTACTCCTTGCTAATAGCAAGGTATCTTTTTACCATATTCACAGCAATCCGTTTGCAGAAACTAAAAAAAACATCTATACTTTGATACTTAAGTTATTTCGCATAATGTATATCATTAACAGGAAAATAGTGGAAAATAACTAAAC